AGGGAAACAAGATCTCTGAGCTCTTTCAAAGTCCCCAAGCAAAGGGCCCGGAATATTAGGGAAATAAGGTTTTTTTCTGTTTTTAATTTTTTAATTTTTAAAATTTGCAAACTTTTTAAAAAACCCTTTTTCCTTTTTTGGTCATTCGGGGGTATTGTGGGATTGATGAAGATTATTATTATTTTTTAAATCCTTTTTAGAATAAGGCTTAACAAAAAAATGGGGGAAAAAAGTAAAGGGGGGTCTGAATTTTTTCCGATGAACTGAATATCCTTTTAAAATGCCTAGTAAAATAAACCCCAAAGGGGGTAGCAAAGGGGGAAAGGCCATCTGCAAAAACCACGGGACGGGACCCCACTGTGTGACAGAAAAGGGTTTAAGGCGGGAAAACGCCCCAGAGTACCCAGAGCCCAACCGCTGAAAATTCCCCCCCCCGCATTTATAATACAAAGGAAAGAGGGGAGAAGGAAGGAGAGAGAGAGACAAAGAGAGACAGAGAGAGACAGAGACAGAGACAGAGAGAGACAAAAACGAGAGAGAAAACCCGAGGGGGAGATACGAGAAGAGAAAAAGAGAAGAGACAGAGAGAAACAAGGACAGACAAGAGAAAAGAAGAAAAACACAGAACAGAGGGGTTTAAAGAACAGAGCCCGAGAGGGGAGAGAGAGAGACAAAAGAAGAGGAGAAAAAGGAGAACCCACAGAAAACCAGAAAAGTTTAGAGAGAGACAGAGACAAAAGGGGGGAAGAGAGAGACAAAAGGGAGGAGAGACAGAGAGAGAACACAGAGCCGAGAGGAGAAAACCAGAAAAATAGATTGAGAGAGGAGACAGAGAGAGAGAAGAGAAACAGAGAAGAGACAGAGAGACAGAAGAGAGAGAAAAGAGAGACAGAGAAGAGAGACAAGAAAGCCCAAACATAACAAGAAAAAGAGACGGAAAAGGAAAAACAACAAGAACAAGAGAGAGACAAGAGAGAAAAACCCGAAAAAGGGGAAGACAGGAAAAGAGAGAGGAGAGAAGAGAGAGACAAAAGACAAACACATAGACAGAAGAGAAGAAAACGGGGAGTAAGAGGGGAGGGGAGAGAGAGAACAATAAAACACAGAGACAAAGAATAGAGAGAGCCGAGACAGAGAGAGTATAGAATACAGAAAACAAAAGGGGGAAAGGGGACAAAAGACGGGAGAGGGAGAAAGAGAGAAGACAAAGAGAGAGAAAAAGGGGAGAGAAAGAGAGATAAAGACCACAAACAGAGAAGCCGATAGCAAAAACAGAGAAGAGAGAAGAGAAAAAAAGGAAAATAGAGGGAAGAAAAAGAGAGAGAGAAAAAGAAGGGGAGAGGCCCGGGGCCCCCCAACACAAAACCCAGAGAAGAAAAGGATAGAGAAATAAAATATATAGAAAAGAGTGGGGGAGAAAAAAAAAGACAACAGGACACACAAAAGACAAGAGATCCATTTTAATATTGTAGAAAAATAAACCCATGCTGTTTAAAGAGGGAAAAGACTTTAACCGGGCATCATTAAAAAGGCACATTCAGTATTAAAAGGTATTTATCATACACCCTATATTCATTAAAAAAGGGGATTTCCCCCGGCGCTAAAAACAAAAACGGGGAAATAAAAAGCCCCCCCAAATACCGGGTAATAACCTTTTACTACGGACGGGTTTCCTACTGCTAATGCTCCCCTCAGCGGGGGGGGAAAATGGGTAAAATCTGGCCTGGCCCCAATGGCGTCAGGGTTTTCCCCCGGAGACCCCAGGTTCCTTTTTAACCCAGGGAGACCCCGGTTCCTTTAAACCCAGGGAGACCCCCGGGGCCCTTTTAAACCCCCGGGAACCCCATTTTTCCCTTTAACCCAGGAAAATTTCCGGGTTTTCCCTTTTAAACCCCAGGGAGACTCCAGGTTCCTTTAACCCAGGGAGACTCCGGGTTTCCTTTTAAAAAACCCCAGGGGACCCGGGTTCCTTTCCCCCAAAGGAAACTCCGGGTTTTTCCTTTAACCCGGGAGACTCCGGGTTTCCCTTTTAAACCCCGGGGGAGACGCCGGGTTTCCCTTTTAAACCCCCAGGGGACTCCGGGTTTCCTTTTAAAACCCCGGGAGACCCCCTTTTCCTTTAAAAACCCCGGGAAACCCAGGTTCCTTTAAACCCGGGAGACTCCTTTTTCCTTTAAAACCCCCGGGAAAGACTCCGGGTTCCTTTAACCCAGGGAACTCCGGGTTTTCCTTTAACCCGGGAGACTCAGGTTTCCTTAACCCAGGAGACCCTTTTCCTTTAAAACCCGGGGAGACCCCGGGTTTCCCTTTTAAAAACCCAGGAGACTCCTTTTTCCCTTTAAACCCCGGGAGCCCCCCCAAGGTTTCCTTTTAAAAACCCGGGAGACTCCGGTTCCCTTTAAACCCCAGGGAACCTCCGGGTTTCCCTTTTAAAACCCGGGAGCCCCCGGGTTTTTTTAAACCCAGGGAGCCCCAGGTTCCTTTAACCCGGGAGACCCCGGGTTCCCTTTTAAAAACCCAGGGAACTCCAGGTTCCTTAACCCGGGGAAAACTCCGGGGGCCCCCTTAAAACCCGGGAGACTCCGGTTTCCCTTTAAAAACCGGGGAATTTCCAGGTTTTTTTAAAAACCCAGGGAGACCCAGGCCCCTTTTAAACCCAGGGAGACCCCGGGTTTCCCTTTTAAAACCCGGGGACCCCGGGTTCCCTTTTAACCCGGGAGACTCCGGGTTCCTTTTAAAAACCCCGGGAGACCCCGGGTTTTTCCTTTTAAACCCGGGGAACCCGGGTTCCCTTTTAACCCCGGGGAAGCCCAATTTCCCTTTAAACCCCAGGGAGACCCCCAGTTCCTTTAACCCGGGGAGACTCCGGGGTTTTTTTAAAACCCAGGAAACTCCGGGCCCCTTTTAAACCCGGGGAGACCCGGGGCCCTTTTAAAAACCCGGGGAAACCCATTTTCCCTTTTAAACCCGGGAAAATCCAGGTTCCTTACCCAGGGAGACTCCATTTTCCCTTTAACCCAGGGGAAAACCCGGGTTTCCCTTTAAACCCCCGGGGAGACCCCCAAGGTTTCCCTTTTAAAAAACCCGGGGGAAAAGGGTTCCCTTTTAAACCCCCCCGGGGAAAAAGGGGTTCCCAATTTAACCCCCGGGGAGAAGGTTTTCCTTTAAAAAAAACCCGGGGAAAAAGGTTTTCCCTTTTTTAAAAACCCCCCCCCAGGGGGAAGGGGCCCCCGGGGTTTTTAACCCCCCCCAAAGGATTTTCCGAGGCCCCCATTTCCCCTTTTTTTTTAACCAAATTTTCATCCGGGGCCCGGGGCATAAACCCCCCCATGGGTTTTTCAGCATGATAATGCACAGCCCCATGTCACAAGGATCTGTACACGAGGTGATGGCGGCGGATGAATCGTACGACAATGGGCTTCAGGATCTCGTCACGGTGTTTCTGTGCATTCAAATTGTCATGGATAAAATGGCTGTGTGTAAAGCTCGCCGCCATTGGACTATGGAGCAGTGGAAACGCATTCTCTGGAGTGATGAATCACGCTTCACCATCTGGCAGTCCGACGGACGAATCTGGGTTTGGCGAATGCCAGGAGAACGCTACCTTCCCTAATGCATAGTGCCAACTAAAGTTCGGTGGAGGAGGAATAATGGTCTGAGGCTGTTTTTCATGGTTCGGGCTAGGCCCCTTAGTTCCAGTGAAGGGAAATCTTAATGCTAATAATAATAATAATAATAATATGCCATTTAGCAGACGCTTTTATCCAAAGCGACTTACAGTCATGCGTGCATACATTTTTGTGTATGGGTGGTCCCGGGGATCGAACCCACTACCTTGGCGTTACAAGCGCCGTGCTCTACCAGCTGAGCTACAGAGGACCACCCATACACAATGCTACAGCATACAATAACATTGTAGACGATTCTGTGCTTCCAACATTGTGGCAACAGTTTGGGGAAGGCCCTTTCATGTTTCAGCATGACAATGCACAAAGAGGTCCATACAGAAATGGTTTGTCTAGATCGGTGTGGAAGAACTTGACTGGCCTGCACAGAGCACTGACCTCAACCCCATCGAACACCTTTGGGATGAATTGGAACGCCGACTGCGAGTCAGGCCTAATCACCCAACATCAGTGCCCGACCTCCCTAATGCTCGTGGCTGAATGGAAGCAAGTCCCAGCAGCAATGTTCCAACATCTAGTGGAAAGCCTTCCCAGAAGAGTGGAGGCTGTTATAGCAGCAAAGGGGGGACCAACTCCATATTAATGCCCATGATTTTGGAATGAGCGGTTGGACGAGCATGTGTCCACATACATTTGGTCATGTAGTACTTCGATATCTTTTAAAAACTGGTACCGGGGGACCTTCAGACAAGTCTTGTGAGGCCTGTGGGCGTCCTAGAGCAAAACAACCAACATGTACATGTTCATGAGATATTAGTGTGCAATATGTTCAAACTGTTCGGACGCTACAGACAGAAGTTGGATCGGCTGTCCCGACTTCAGACGAGTCCCAAGAGGCTTGTGGGTCGCAGAACAAAACGGAGAACACATTTTCCACGTCTGCCCAACCATATTCTGAGTCGCTAATATTTTTGCACATAATCATGTATTAACTTATAAAGCGTCTGCATTTTTCCCCTACGACAATCGAGAAACGTAAGGATCAACTACGGTGTAATTGGGGTAATTTGAGCCACGCCCCCGAGGCAGAATGCCCACCCGGACCCTCCCCTGGGGTTGAGCCACGCCCTGGGGTTGAGCCACGCCCTGGGGTTGAGCCACGCCCTGGGGTTGAGCCACGCCCTGGGGTTGAGCCACGAAATGTGAGCACGTCCAAGTTGTTAAGATTTTGTATTCCCAGTCATCAGTACAGGGTTAGGGTTAGTACAGTACAGTGATATATTCTCCTACTCTACTGTCAAACTGACAGACTAATGTTCACCATATATAGTGGTATAGAGTACGGACATGTGGCGGCAGGGTGACTCTACCCACCAGGATAGCAGAGACCAGCCCCATCTCCAACACGGTGGGTCCCAGGTTGAAGACAATAGCAGAGAGGACGAAGGAGATGCCCCTGGTGCCCCTGTCAATAGCCTTAGACAGCGCCCCCGTCTGGCGAGACAGGTGGAAGCCCAGGTCCAGGCTGTGGAGATGCAGGAACACGTTCTTGGCGATGCGGCGGATGGAATTCTGGGCCACCTTCCCGAACACGGCGTTACGCAGCTCGTTGAAGAGGGCCGAACCGGCACGGGACACACCGTCTGGGAGAAGGAAGAGAGGATTTCATCAGGGCTTTGGCTGCGTCGGGGCGGAGCTCAGCGGAGACAAGGACCAGCCTTTATAGTAAATCACAGACAGACTAACATTGACATCCATTGAGCTGATTGTACTAGGCAAGGACCAGCCTTTATAGTAAATCACAGACAGACTAACATTGACATCCATTGAGCTGATTGTACTAGGCAAGTCAAATCAAGTGAACCTCAAGTATTTGAAAAAATAAACAAATACTATTAAGACCCAGGTCTGGTTCAAATGGACATGGCTGACAAATATAGCCTGAATTTATCAGAGACGAGACTGTTTACATTTACATTTTAGTCATTTAGCAGACGCTCTTATCCAGAGCGACTTACAGTTAGTGCATACATTATTATTTTCATACTGGCCCCCGGTGGGAAACGAACCCACAACCCTGGCGTTGCAAACGCCATGCTCTACCAACTGAGCTACACCCCTGCCGGCCATTCCCTCCCCTACCCTGGACGACGCTGGGCCAATTGTGCGCCGCCCCATGGGTCTCCCGGCTGCGGCCGGCTACGACAGAGCCTGGATTCGAACCAGGATCTCTAGTGGCACAGCTAGCACTGCGATGCAGTGCCTTAGACCACTGCGTTTCAGACCAGACCGGCTCGATTCAGTCTTATGTAGCAAAATCTGAAATTGTGTTTTTTACATTGGATAAAAGTAGAGACTCAGAGCTAGAAAATGGTATATCATACACTGCAATGGGAAAGTAATTCTGCTTTGAAAGTTGATAAACTTGTAACCTCACTTTTGAGAAAATGGCCTTTGAATGTTTTGGTACACCTACTGGAGAGCTCTTCTTTGTCTACACCCATTCAGCATCGTTCACACCCTCTTAAACTATAGCCCCGCCCATAAATTCAGAGCGTTGTCAGATTGTCAGTTCGTAAATTCAGAGCTTTTTCGCTCTCCGGAGCGCACACTGGACGCTCTGGCCGAGGAGTAGGGTTGATCCGAGCGTTCTGACCTAACAACAACAGTCAAGCACCCAAGCTAACTGGCTAACGTTGGCTAGCTACTTCCAGACACAAATGAGAGAACAGCTCACTCTGACCATTTTACTCGCCCTAGCAGAGCTGGTTAGGCTGTTTTCATGTTATCCAGAGCGTTGGTGACTGTAACTGTGCTGCTGGCAACAATTTAATGATGCTTTTTTCCCCAATGTTTACTGACACAGGCCATATTCAACAGGTGTTGAGCGTTCGAAAATTCGTCAGTTATTCTGCGCTCTGGCACACTCAGACGAGAGCGCTCTGAAATCGGAGTAGATTGCCAGAATTAACAATGTCCATTGAGAACGCGCAACGACTATACCACTTAGCTAAGAATGACGTGAATAATCAAGTCAATAAACGTTGGGTAGTTAGTTAGATAGCATATAGTTAATATACTGGCAAGTTCCATGTATTAGTAGCCAACTGACGTTAGGTAGCTAGCTAACATACCGGTACATACTGCTGTAATGCTATGCGGTTCGTAAGGATAGCGTAGCTAACAAATTGTCAGCCAACATAACGTGTAACCTAATTTATTTGAAAAGTCATTACTATACTACATTGCTTAACATTTTCTTAACATTTGTCATAATTAGTTAAAGCACTGAATTTCTATCTGCTGTCGTCGGACTCCGGCTGCATATTTATTATTGTCGCAGTGACATCATGAACATTCTATTGAAATGGTTACTTGCATAGTGGAGCATTTTGTTAAGACATCTCTCTGTAGGTGATGGCTTTGTTACGAAAGGTTTGGGAATCGCTTCCTTTTAGGTGGTTGTAGAATTTAACGTCTCTTTTCTGGATTTTGATCATTAGCGGGTATCGGCCTAATTCTGCTCTGCATGCATTATTTGGTGTTATACGTTGTACATGGAGGATGTTTTTTCAGAATTCTGCATGCAGTGTCAATTTTGTGTTCTTTACCATTTTGTGAATTCTTGGTTGGTGAGCGGACCCCAGACCTCACAACCATAAAGGGCGATGGGTTCTATAACTTTTCTCTCTCTCTGCTCCCCTCCCATATCCCTCCCCCCACCCTATCTCCGCTCCCTCATTTCCCTCCCTACCACCACCCTTTTCCTCCTCCCTCCATCCCTCCATCCCCCACCTCTTTATTCCCCCCCCTTTCCTCCTCATTCCCCTCCCCACCACCTCCTTCCTCCCTCCCTCCCCCTTCCCCACCTCTTTTCCTCCCTCCCCTCCCCTCTCTTCCCAAACCTCCCCCCCTCCTCCCTCCTCCCTACTCCTCTTTTCCTCCCTCCCCAAAACCCCCCCTCCTCTCTTCCTCCCGCCCCTCCCCACCTCCTCTCTTCCCTCCCTCCCTATCTCCTCTTTTCCTCCCTCCCTCCCCATCCCCCTCCCCACCGACTCTTTCCTCCTCCCTCCTACCTCTTTTCCTCCCTCCCTCCCTCCCTCCCTCCCTCCCCCTCCTACCCCTCTCCCCCCACCCTACCCCTCTTACCTCCCTCCTCACCTTTTCCTCCCTCCCTCCCTCCCCTACCACCTCTTTCCCTCCCCCTCCCTCCCACCTCTTTTCTCCCTCCCTCCCTCCCTCCCTCCCTCCTACCACTCTTTCCCTCCCTCCTCCCTACCACCACCCGCCCCCCTCCTACCACCCTCTTTCCCTCCCTCCCCCTACCACCGTCCCTCCCCCCTCCTACCACCCTTTCCCTCCCTCCTCCCTACCACCTCCCTCCCCCCTCCTACCCCTCTTCCCTCCCTCCTCCCTACCACCCCCTCCCTCCCTCCTAACCACCTCTTTCCCTCCCTATCTCCTCTTTCCTCCCTCCCTCCCATCCCCCTCCCCACCACCCTTCTCCACCTCCCAACTATTTTCCCTCCCCCCCTCCCACCTCTTTCCCTCCCTCCCCCCTCCTACCCCCTCTTTCCCTCCTCCTCCCTACCACCATCTCTTTTTTTCTCCCTCCCTCCCTACCTTCCAAGCCAAACCTACATATTAAAATGTAATCACAGCCTACATCGTTGTCACCCACATTAGCTAATGACGTCAAACCCACATAGCGACTTCAAATAACGTGTTAGTAATCCACTACTATAATGTAGAACAAGCAGAGGGGAGAAAAAAAGGGGCAGAAGGAGAACGAGCAGAGAGGAGAACAGAGCAGAGAGGAGAACAGAGCAGAGAGGAGAACAGAGAGGAGAAAAAGGGCAGAGAGGAGAACAGAGAGGAGAACAGAGCAGAGAGGAGAACAGAGCAGAGAGGAAACAGGCATAGAGGAGAACAGAGCAGAGAGGAGAAAAAGAGCGGGAGAGGGAGAACAGAGAGGAGAACAGAGAAAGAGAGGAAAACAAGAGAGAACAGAGCATAGAGGAGAAAGAGCGGGAGAGGAGAACAGAGCAGAAAAGGAGAAAAAGAGCATAAGGAAACAGAGCAGAGAGGAGAACAGAGCAGAGAGGAGAACAGAGCAGAAAAGGAGAACAGAGCAGAGAGAGAACAGAGAGGAGAAGAGCAAGAGGAAAAAAACAGAGAACAGAGCAGAGAACAGAGCAGAGGAGAACAGAGCAGAAAACAGGGGCAGAGAGGAGAACAGAGCAGAGAGGAGAACAGAGCAGAGGGGAAAGAACAGAGCGGAGAGGAAACAGAGCATAGAGGAGAACAGAGCAGAGAGGAGAACAGAGCAGAGAGGAGAAACAGAGCAGAGAGGAGGAGAACAGAGCAGAGAACAGAGCCTACAGAGGAGGGAGACAGGAGCATAGAGGAGAACAGAGCAGAGAACAGAGCAGAGAGGAAGAACAGAGGCAGAGAGAGAGGAGAACAGAGCATAGAGGAGAACAGAGCATAGAGGAGAACAGAGCAGAGAACAGAGCAGAGAGGAGAACAGAGCAGAGAGGAGAACAGAGCATAGAGGAGAACAGAGCAGAGAGGAGAACAGAGCAGAAGAGGAGAACAGAGAGAGAACAGAGCATAGAACAGAGCAGAGAGGGAGAACAGAGCAGAGACAGAGCAGAGAGGAGAACAGAGCAGAGAGGAGAACAGAGCAAGAGGAGAACAGAGCAGAGAGGAGAACAGAGCAGAGAGGAGAACAGAGCATAGAGGAGAACAGAGCAGAGAGGAGAACAGAGCAGAGAGAGGGAGAACAGAGCAGAGAGGAGAACAGAGAGGAGGAGAACAGAGAGGAGAGGAGAACAGAGAGGAGAACAGAGCATAGAGGAGAACAGAGAGGAGAACAGAGCAGAGAGGAGAACAGAGCAGAGAGGAGAACAGAGCAGAGAGGAGAACAGCGCATAGAGGAGAACAGAGCATAGAGGAGAACAGAGCAGAGAGGAGAACAGAGCAGAGAGGAGAACAGAGCATATAGGAGAACAGAGCAGAGAACAGAGCAGAGAGGAGAACAAAGCAGAGAACAGAGCAGAGAACAGAGCAGAGAGGAGAACAGAGCAGAGAGGAGAACAAAGCAGAGAGGAGAACAGAGCAGAGAGGAGAACAGAGCAGAGAGGAGAACAGAGAGGAGAACAGAGCAGAGAGGAGAACAGAGCAGAGAACAGAGCATAGAGGAGAACAGAGAGGAGAGGAGAACAGAGAGGAGAACAGAGCATAGAGGAGAACAGAGCAGAGAGGAGAACAGAGCAGAGAGGAGAACAGAGCATAGAGGAGAACAGAGCAGAGAGGAGAACAGAGAGGAGAACAGAGCATAGAGGAGAACAGAGCATAGAGGAGAACAGAGCAGAGAGGAGAACAGAGCAGAGAGGAGAACAGAGAGGAGAACAGAGAGGAGAACAGAGAGGAGAACAGAGCAGAGAGGAGAACAGAGCAGAGAGGAGAACAGAGAGGAGAACAGAGCAGAGAGGAGAACAGAGCAGAGAGGAGAACAGAGCAGAGAGGAGAACAGAGCAGAGAGGAGAACAGAGCAGAGAGGAGAACAGAGCAGAGAGGAGAACAGAGCAGAGAGGAGAACAGAGCAGAGAGGAGAACAGAGCAGAGAGGAGAACAGGGCATATAGAGAACAGAGCAGGAACAGAAGCAGAGAGGAGAACAAAGCAGAGACAGAGCAGAGAACAGAGCAGAGAGGAGAACAGAGCAGAGAGGAGAACAAAGCAGAGAACAGAGCAGAGAACGAGCAGAGAGGAGAACAGAGCAGGAGAAGAGGATACAAGAGCAAGAGAAACAGAGCATAGAGGAGAACAGAGCATAGAGGAGAACAGAGAAAGGAGAGGAGAACAGAGCATAGAGGAGAACAGAGCATAGAGGAGAACAGAGCAGAGAACAGAGCAGAGAGGAGAACAGAGCAGAGAGGAGAACCAGAGCGAGAGGAGAACAGAGAGGAGAACAGAACAGAGAACAGAGCAAAAGGGAGAACAAAAGCAGAGAGGAGAACAAGAGGAGAGGAAAAAGAGAGGAGAACCGAGAGAGAGGAGAACAGAGAGAGAGGAGAACAGAGCTAGAGGAAACAGACAGAGAGGAGAACAGAGCAGAGAGGAGAAAAAGAGAGGAAACAGAGCATAGAGGAGAAACAGGCATAGAGGAGAACAGAGCAGAGAGGAGAACAGAGCAGGAGGAGAACAGAGCAGAGAGGAGAACAGAGCAGAGAGGAAACAGAGAGGAGAACAGAGAGGAGAACAGAGCAGAGAGGAGAACAGAGAGGGAGAACAGAGAAAGAGAGGAGAACAGCGCATGAGGAAAACAAGCATAGAGGAGAACAGAGCAGAGAGGAGAACAGAGCAGAGAGGAGAACAGAGCAGAGAGGAGAACAGCGCATAGAGGAGAACAGAGCATAGAGGAGAACAGAGCAGAGAGGAGAACAGAGCCAGAGAGGAGAACAGAGCAGAGAGGAGAACAGAGCATATAGGAGAACCGAGCAGAGGAGAACAGAGCAGAGAGGAGAACAAAGCAGAGAACAGAGCAGAGAACAGAGCAGAGAGGAGAACAGAGCAGAGAGGAGAACAAAGCAGAGAGGAGAACAGAGCAGAGAGGAGAACAGAGCAGAGAGGAGAACAGAGCAGAGAAAGAGCAGAGGAGAACAGAGCAGAGAGGAGAACAGAGCAGAGAGGAGAACAGAGAGGAGAACAGAGCAGAGAACAGAGCATAGAGGAGAACAGAGCAGAGAGGAGAACAGAGAGGAGAGGAGAACAGAGAGGAGAACAGAGCAGAGAGGAGAACAGAGCAGAGAGGAGAACAGAGCAGAGGAGAACAGAGCAGAGAGGAGAAACAGAGCAGAGAGGAGAAACAGAGAGGAGAACAGAGCATAGAGGAGAACAGAGCATAGAGGAGAACAGAGCAGAGAGGAGAACAGAGCAGAGAGGAGAACAGAGCAGAGAGGAGAACAGAGCAGAGAGGAGAAAGAGCAGAGAGGAGAACAGAGAGGAGAACAGAGAGGAGAACAGAGAGGAGAACAGAGAGGAGAACAGAGCAGAGAGGAGAACAGAGAGGAGAACAGAGCAGAGAGGAGAACAGCGCATAGAGGAGAACAGAGCAGAGAACAGAGCAGAGAGGAGAACAAAGCAGAGAACAGAGCAGAGAACAGAGCAGAGAGGAGAACAGAGCAGAGAGGAGAACAGAGCAGAGAACAGAGCAGAGAACAGAGCAGAGAGGAGAACAGAGCAGAGAGGAGAACAGAGCAGAGAACAGAGCATAGAGGAGAACAGAGCAGAGAGGAGAACAGAGCATAGAGGAGAACAGAGCATAGAGGAGAACAGAGCAGAGAACAGAGCAGAGAGGAGAGCAGAGAGGAGAACAGAGCAGAGAGGAGAACAGAGAGGAGAGGAGAACAGAGCAGAGAACAGAGCAGAGAGGAGAACAGAGCAGAGAGGAGAACAGAGCAGAGAACAGAGCAGAGAGGAGAACAGAGAGGAGAACAGAGCATAGAGGAGAACAGAGCAGAGAACAGAGCAGAGAGGAGAACAGAGCAGAGAGGAGAACAGAGCAGAGAGGAGAACAGAGCGGAGAGGAGAACAGAGCAGAGAACAGAGCAGAGAGGAGAACAGAGCAGAGAGGAGAACAGAGAGGAGAGGAGAACAGAGAGGAGAACAGAGCATAGAGGAGAACAGAGCATAGAGGAGAACAGAGCAGAGAACAGAGCAGAGAGGAGAACAGAGCAGAGAGGAGAACAGAGCATAGAGGAGAACAGAGCAGAGAGGAGAACAGAGCATAGAGGAGAACAGAGCAGAGAACAGAGCAGAGCAGAGAACAGAGCAGAGAACAGAGCAGAGAGGAGAACATAGAGGAGAACAGAGTATAGAGGAGAACAGAGCAGAGAGGAGAACAGAGCAGAGAGGAGAACAGAGCATAGAGGAGAACAGAGCAGAGAGGAGAACAGAGAGGAGAGGAGAACAGAGCAGAGAGGAGAACAGAGCATAGAGGAGAACAGAGCAGAGAGGAGAACAGAGCAGAGAGGAGAACAGAGAGGAGAGGAGAACAGAGCAGAGAGGAGAACAGAGCATAGAGGAGAACAGAGCATAGAGGAGAACAGATCAGAGAGGAGAACAGAGCAGAGAGGAGAACAGAGCAGAGAGGAGAACAGAGAGGAGAACAGAGCAGAGAGGAGAACAGAGCATAGAGGAGAACAGAGCAGAGAGGAGAACAGAGCAGAGAGGAGAACAGAGAGGAGAGGAGAACAGAGAGGAGAACAGAGCATAGAGGAGAACAGAGCATAGAGGAGAACAGAGCAGAGAACAGAGCAGAGAGGAGAACAGAGCAGAGAGGAGAACAGAGCATAGAGGAGAACAGAGCAGAGAGGAGAACAGAGCAGAGAGGAGAACAGAGAGGAGAACAGAGCATAGAACAGAGCAGAGAGGAGAACAGAGCAGAGAGGAGAACAGAGCAGAGAACAGAGCAGAGAGGAGAACAGAGCAGAGAGGAGAACAGAGCAGAGAGGAGAACAGAGAGGAGAACAGAGCAGAGAGGAGAACAGAGCAGAGAGGAGAACAGAGCAGAGAGGAGAACAGAGCAGAGAGGAGAACAGAGCAGAGAGGAGAACAGAGAGGAGGAGAACAGAGAGGAGAGGAGAACAGAGAGGAGAACAGAGCATAGAGGAGAACAGAGAGGAGAACAGAGCAGAGAGGAGAACAGAGCAGAGAGGAGAAGTCGGGACACAGAGCCAACACTAAGTTTGATACACTTGTTGTTTAATGGTTCCCTACCCCAGATAGATTCTATATTAACTCCTGGACTGTGACAACAATATTCTGTTCAAAATATTAAAATAAAAAATGTTTTGTGTCTTTCTAGTTTGTGTAGAAAAGCGTGTGTGTGACTTACAGCCAATCAGAACAGCAGTTGCCATGGTAGCAACAGTGCTGGGGGCATCGCTCAGGTTCAACATGTGTCCTGACAGTCCATTCAGCTCGTCCACAGCATACTTAAACATGAAGGGTACCATCACGTTGGTCATCTGGAGAACGGGGGGGGGGCAGAGATGAGAGAGAGAGAGAGACAGAGTTGTGAAAACATTCATTTCCACTCCTCTGATGGTAGAAGCATTTAGGCTGGCTGTGTGTTATTCCTCGTGGGGACCGGAGATCCCTAAAAAAGTCTGGATAGAAAAACAAGGAAAAGTCAATATTACACCGTTACAGAAATCAGGAATGCTCTATAGATGTCCATATCTACATGAGTGACTGTGTCGAACACGCCACCTCCTGTTGTTAAATTGGGTACCTATTGACCAAAAAAATATGTTATGAAATACAGTACCATTCAAAAGTTTGGACACAACTACTCATTCCAGGGTTGTTCATTATTTTTACTTTTTTTTTTTTTTTTTACATTGTAGAATAATAGTGAAGACATCAAAACCATGAAATAACACACATGGAATCATGTAGTAACCAAAAAAGTGATAAACAGTAGCCACCCCTTTGCCTTGATGACAGGCATGCACAATATTGGCATTCTCTCAACCAGCTTCATGAGGTAGTCACCTGGAATGCATTTCAATTAACAGGTGGGCCTTATAAAAGTTCATTTGTGGAATTTCTTTCCTTCTTAATGCGTTTGAGCCAATCAGTTGTGTTGTGACAAGGTAAGGGTGGGGGGGGGGGGGGGGGGGGGGGTATACAGCTTCCGGTGCGAATGTAAACCAACAGCTAAAGAAAGTCTAATAATCTATCTAGCTAACTCCTAGAATTAGGCTAGTAATATTATGACATTTCGGGTCATGCAGAGAGTAAAAAGCTTTGGACAATGTTGTTCGGTTGTAGGGTGCTCCCGACGATCGGGAACAAACCTATTGACAGAAATTAAAACGTATAGATTTCCATGGATACTTGCTGTAAAACGAGGTGGTTGGACGCCAACGTCAAATGCAAGGGTATGCAGCGTACACTTCATTACTGGCAAGCCGTCAAAGGATCCTCTCCATCCCTCACCGAGCCCAGAACAAAACAAAGGATCCTCTCCATCCCTCACCGAGCCCAGAACAAAACAAAGGATCCTCTCCATCCCTCACCGAGCCCAGAACAAAACAAAGGATCCTCTCCATCCCTCACCGAGCCCAGAACAAAACAAAGGATCCTCTCCATCCCTCACCGAGCCCAGAACAAAACAAAGGATCCTCTCCATCCCTCACCGAGCCCAGAACAAAACAAAGGATCCTCTCCATCCCTCACCGAGCCCAGAACAAAACAAAGGATCCTCTCCATCCCTCACCGAGCCCAGAACAAAACAAAGGATCCTCTCCATCCCTCACCGAGCCCAGAACAAAACAAAGGATCCTCTCCATCCCTCACCGAGCCCAGAACAAAACAAAGGATCCTCTCCATCCCTCACCGAGCCCAGAACAAAACAAAGGATCCTCTCCATCCCTCACCGAGCCCAGAACAAAACAAAGGATCCTCTCCATCCCTCACCGAGCCCAGAACAAAACAAAGGATCCTCTCCATCCCTCACCGAGCCCAGAACAAAACAAAGGATCCTCTCCATCCCTCACCGAGCCCAGAACAAAACAAGGATCCTCTCCATCCCTCACCGAGCCCAGAACAAAACAAAGGATCCTCTCCATCCCTCACCGAGCCCAGAACAAACAAAGGATCCTCTCCATCCCTCACCGAGCCAGAACAAAACAAAGGATCCTCTCCATTCCTCACCGAGCCCAGAACAAAACAAAGGATCCTCTCCATCCCTCACCGAGCCCAGAACAAAACAAAGGATCCTCTCCATCCCTCACCGAGCCCAGAACAAAACAAAGGATCCTCTCCATCCCTCACCGAGCCCAGAACAAAACAAAGGATCCTCTCCATCCCTCACCGAGCCCAGAACAAAACAAAGGATCCTCTCCATCCCTCACCGAGCCCAGAACAAAACAAAGGATCCTCTCCATCCCTCACCGAGCCCAGAACAAAACAAAGGATCCTCTCCATCCCTCACCGAGCCCAGAACAAAACAAAGGATCCTCTCCATCCCTCACCGAGCCCAGAACAAAACAAAGGATCCTCTCCATCCCTCACCGAGCCCAGAACAAAACAAAGGATCCTCTCCATCCCTCACCGAGCCCAGAACAAAACAAAGGATCCTCTCCATCCCTCACCGAGCCCAGAACAAAACAAAGGATCCTCTCCATCCCTCACCGAGCCCAGAACAAAACAAAGAGCTTAAAGGGAATAGAGATATCAAAGGGAAACAAGATCAGCACAGCCTCAGCCTGTGAAAGAGGAAATGGAGACCGGAGTGGGCCGCCGTGAATTGTGCATGAAAAACCCAGACAACACCCCATATGCGAGTGTGTCAGTTGGAACCACAGATGGAAGTCAAGACCGGAACTCCCCAGACCAAGACCCAACCCCTTGAGATCCAATCCAAGACCCAATGTACCGAGACAGATTTCAAGTACAAAAGGGGCCGTCATTTGAAAACAAACATGAAAACGTAAAACATGTCAATATTCTGGACAATTTTAGGGGCAATGAACTATCTGCTGTCATTTCCTGACATGTCATTTGAAATGGCAGTCGTGCTGGAGGTTGGTCTTAGTCTAGCGGTACTAGTGTTGAGCGATTAGTGCTTTTTGAGGTCTGTTTCGGTGTGATTATAAAAAAAAGTCACGGTTTTCGGTTTCAATAATTATTTTCAACATTAAAATGCACTATGCATTGTGGGTTGATTGCCGTAACAACACAGTGACCGCCCATTACTGCTTATCACTTATTAACCATCATTTATTTACATTACTTTAATAAAATATGTTTTATTTGAATACTTTATTTAATTCCAAGTCATCTCATCTCTATAGAGCTGCTGTCTGACAGAATCACTATTTTAGTAGTTCTTCAAAGTAAATAAGGCCTACTTTTAGGACTGCTGAATACCAACTATCAATCACTTAGATCATGTATTTTCAGGTATACATTTTTGTTATTGACCAAATACTTATTTTCCACCATAATTTGCAAATAAATTCATTTAAATTCCTACAATGTGATTTTCAGGATTTTTTTTCTCAGTTTGTCTGTCATAGTTGACGTGTACCTATGATGAATATTACAGGCCTCTCATCTTTTTAAGTGGGAGAACTTGCACAATTGGTGGCTGACTAAATACATTTTTTCCCCACTGTATTTTCAGGTAGAGATGCCTCGCGAAGCAACTCTCCATCACTCATTCTTCTGTCCGTTCTCTCTGCGCTAAACTATGTAGAATATTGGCCTGTTGGAAATTACAACATTGCACAGTTCGGGCTTGATCTGATTTATCTATAGAGAAACTAACTGCACATTCAAATAATTGAACCTATGTTGGTCAATTAGTTGTTTAAAAAACGAAAAATAACGGACATTTTGGTTAATCGCTCAGCTCTATAGAGTAAACTGTAAGTCGCTCTGGATAAGAGTGTCTGCTAAATGACTAAAATGTAATACAGAAGATAGCCTTATTTGGTAAAAGACCAAGTCCATATTATGGCAAGAAAATATCAAATAATCAAAGAGCAACGACAGTCCATCATTACTTTAAGACATGAAGGTCAGTCAATCCGCAAATTCTGAAGAACTTTGAAAGTTTCTTCAAGTGCAGTCGCAAAAACCATCAAGCGCTATGATGAAACTGGCTCTCATGAGGATCGCCACAGGAATGGAAGACCCAGAGTTACCTCTGCTGCAGAGGATAAGTTCATTAGAGTTACCAGCCTCAGAAAATGCAGCCCAAATAAGTGCTTCACAGAGTTCAAGTAACAGACACATCTCAACATCAACTGTTCAGAGGGGATTGTGTGAATCAGGCCTTCATGGTCAAATTACTGCAAAGAAACCACTACTAAAAAACACCAATAAGAAGAAGAGACCTGCTTGGGCCAAGAAACACGAGCAATGGACATTAGGCCGGTGGAAATCTGTCCTTTGGTCTGGAGTCCAAATTTGAGATTTTTGGTTCCAACCGCCGTGTCCTTGTGAGACGCAGAGTAGGTAAACGGATGATCTCCACATGTGTGGTTCCCACTGTGAAGCATGGAGGAGGTGGTGTGATGGTGTGGGGGTGCTTTGATGGTGACACTGTCTGTGATTTATTTAGAATTCAAGGCACACTTAACCAGCATGGCTACCACAGCATTCTGCAGCGATACGCCATCCCATCTGGTTTGGGCTTAGTGGGACTATATTTTGTTTTTCAACAGGACAATGACCCAACACACCTCCAGGCTGTGTAAGGGCTATTTTACCAAGAAGGAGAGTGATGGAGTGCTGCATCAGATGACCTGGCCTCCACAATCCCCCGACCTCAACCCAATTGAGATGGTTTGGGATGAGTTGGACCGCAGAGTGAAGGAAAAGCAGCCAACAAGTGCTCAGCATATGTGGGAACTCCAAGACTGTTGGAAAAGCATTCCAGGTGAAGCTGGTTGAGAGAATGCCAAGAGTGTGCAAAGCTGTCATCAAGGCAAAGGGTGGCTACTTTGAAGAATCTCTCAAATATAAAATATATTTTGATTTGTTTAACAATTTTTTGGTTACTACATGATTCCATATGTGTTATTTCATAGTTTTGATGTCTTCACTATTATTCTACGACGTAGAAAATAGTTAAAATAAAGAAAATCCATTGAATGAGTAGGTGTGTTCAAACGTTTGACTGGAAACTGTATATATTTAAAAACAAATATTCAATGAATGTATTGTTAAAATAAAGTTAAGGAAATACAGGCTCCACATTACTACAAGATAAAACAACTTAATCAAGCCTGATTGTGTTGTTAGTATCAAAGCTTATTTAAAAAAAAAAAAAATTTAAGGTAGTGGAATGGGGTAATGTCTTATTGTGGAAAGAATGCAATACATTACCTTGTATGCGGTACAAATCAAATTATTGTAGGAGCACCTCCAAGAGTATGAATCAGGCTGTTTGAGAAGGTTTGAATCCTGAGCCACCTGCCTACTGTTGAGGAGCTTGGAGGGGACGGCCCAC